CTGCAGGAGGACACAGAGGAGGAGGAGAGAGAGGATGGCATTAGAGCTTCAAACATGTACTTTTCTGATAAGTGCTTCCCTCTAGTGGATGTAATAAATACTGCCCTATTCAGACTGCAGATTCAGGGTGCAATATATATGCCCCTGTGATGTTTTGCCTCCACTATGAAGTGATCCCACCTCTGTGCCGACTTTGCAGGTCTTAACAGAGGAGCGAGACAGGAGACAGCGGGAGGAGAGCAGTGGTGTGTGTGTGCATGTCTGATTGTGCGTGTATGTGGAGCTCCCGCTATGTGTTAACAGAGCTTAGACACTTTGTGTGTGTTGTATGCCAACAGCTTACAGCAGAAAGATTGAATAGATGCAGCGTTAGATTATTCACCTCTGGAGACAGTTTTCTATGTGATGGAATTTAAAACATATTGATCAAACAAACCTGCATACGCTCACACCCACAAACTAAAGTAAAAACACACGCAGGTCAAAGCTCAGCGGGGAAATGCATGCATGCAATTTCAACACTCCAACAAAAAGGGTAATCTATACTTTACACCTCTGCTCATTCATCAAAGTGAGCATCGCTGGGGAGCTGATGGGGCCGTATTCCTGCTCTGTTTAAACAGCGGTCTGTCCCTGCCTGAGGGGGCTGCGAGTAAAGCAGTGAGGGCTCCAGTGGGAGAAGTGGAACATACATGGCAGACATCATGCCCAATCTTCATTTCAGACCAGACGTGTCTTTTCCACAGGCAACAGCGTGTGTGATACACATGAAAAGTCAGACACATTTGCCCGAGTTGTGGATTATTACGCTTCAGTGCAATAAATGTGCAAAAGACTATCACCAGGAACTCAATATGTGAGTTTTTTTTTTAATGCTTCCAAACATCCTTTTAGCATTTGGCGGTTAATATCTTCTGCTGATCTGTTGTTAAACGTTCGAGGCTACATTTTTCTGTTAGCATCAAAGCCTTGAAGGTCAACAACAAGTTCAGACACAGTTCTGATGGATCCATTTCCCCAGAGCCTTTCACTCCATAAGAAAGATTTTTTTTTAAGTAAATATCCTTTAGTTAATGCATCCACTAGAGTCCAACTGAAAGGACATTTGATCTCAGAATCATGATCTTCGGCCTCTGCGTGGTTAAGACTCTGTTTGATTGATTGATTGAAGCCGAGCCTGCAGAAACATTGAGACAGCGTTTTATAAACTCGCCCTGAATACTAGAGCGGAGAATCAGAAGCATTATTTTGTCTGACATAAAACGCTAGCCAGCCTGCAAACGCATGGTCGCAGCTCACTGTATTGATTTATGAATGTTTTACCTGGTAGCCCGTTTAGCAAATATGTTGAGATTTGCAGCCATGCAGCACCTTCCCATCTTTTGACCATTTTTGTTTTCCTCGGTTTATTGTTAGAGTGATGAGTATTTGTGGGGAATTATCTTAGAGAGGACATATTATCCCCCTTCTCCACCTTTTTAAACAGTCCCCCTGTGGTCTAAATGAAACATTTGTGCTGTGCTTTGGTCAAAATATAACATGAATCAAGCACCAGAGGAGGTTTGTGACCCTGTATAAACCAGCTCTCTCAGAATGCTCCGTTTTGGTGTGTGTGTCTCTTTAAATACAATGACCTCCCCTGAGTTTTCCCGGTAGACATCACTCCTCTGTAGCGAAAATAAAAATGGCGGACCTGCGTAAAAGTTTTGTTCTAGGCTGGGGGTGGAGTCCATGGGTAGAGATACCAGGGGAGGGGAGGGGAGGGGATTTTTTTTTACCAGAATCTCACTGTGACATCACAAGGAGAGCACAATTGAAATGCAACATTGTTCTCCGTGTTGTATTACTTATGCAGACCACAAACAAAGGACTGGATGGGTTTATTTCACATTTTGGTGTCAGTAGACACTCAGGTTACCCAAATGTTCAAAAACACTGTAGAAGTGGATTTTTCATAATATGTCCCCTTTAAATAAAGCTCTAGGTTTAAACATTTGAATCAGTGAGACGTCCCTATATACATACAATTCTACAATTCACTTAGCAGACACTTTTATCCAAAGCGACGTACATCAGAGAGTAAGTACAACACAAGCAAGGATCTAGAAAAAAAGGGAACAATGTCAGTAAGAGCAAACGATCAGCTTTGAGTCCGATTGGACACACAGGTGCTGACAGGAAGTGACCAGAGGCAAAGCACAACATTGACGGCAGTTCTTGAGAGCTCTAATCAGTATAGAAACCACCTTATAAGTCATCTTTATCAAACAAAAACCATCGTCATTACCATCATCATCATCAATAATATGGAGACCATCATCATTAAGTTAGTAGGTATTCATAAAGAGCTTGGTCTTTAGCTTTTTCTTAAAGGTGCAGAGGGACTCTGCAGATCGAATGGAGTTTGGAAGTTCATTCCACCACCAGGGGGCGACAGAGGAGAAGAGTCTAGTCAGCGCCAAACATGGAGTGTTCAATCTCCATGTTTTCAGGCTTGGGTTAATTATTTTAGTTCATGCAACACTGGTGAGTGTTCAAAAATGTGATGGAAATACAGAAGAAGAGAAGCTAAACACAACATGTGATGAAAGATGTTTTCAGGTAAGAGTCAGTAATTAAGACACTATTAGACTCCTTATTCTTTCTTCTTCTATGAAATGAAAACACGACTTCACAGACCAGCCCTGCAAACTGTAAAAGAACAACAACAACCATGCATTAAATGTGAGGCCCATGACTGTGGGAGGACGTCCTGCTTGGAGGGTCTGAATTGATCAATCAGATTTAATTAAAGTGACTTCCATTAGTCATTTGGTTTAACCCCGTCACATTAGCGAGTCCCTCTGAGGAGCCCGTGTTTCAGCCATCAGCCATCCATCATGAGGAAAGCAGTGGGTGGTGAACTCACAGGAAACAGACGAGGGAGGATATCCGATTAGTCACCGCCTCTCAGCGCGAAGCCGAACACCGTGGCGTGCACATATGAGGAGTCTTATTTCACCGTTTGAAAATTGTGACCCCCCCCCCCCTCCTCTGACAAAATGATTGCAGGCGTAATGAGAGAGCGTAATGAGGGAGACTTTAATGACGATCATGCGGTAAGTAATGAGAGAATAGGAGAGCAATGGAAGACACCGTCAGGGGAAATCATTGTGTTATTAGCTTCTTTTTATGACCTGTTCAAGATATTAACATAGATGAGAGGTGATAAAATCATTAACTGAGTAATGAGCGTCAGGTAACATGCTTTATGGGGACTTTGATGGATGCTTCCCCATCCGGCAGGAAGATGGTTATTTGGTTTGTGCATTTTGAAAATGTTGAAGCAAGGCAACACCGAGAATCCTGATGGAGACAAAAAGCCTTGAAGCGTTTTCTGTTGTCGCAAATATTCTCCATTTTTTATTTCATTTAAACGGGAAACTATGCGGTGTGTTCAGACATTGTCTTTATGATCTGCTTATGAGCATTAAGGATCCCATTATCTAAACCAAAGCATGTGTTGTCACAGATTTAATGTGGTACCTCGTCGATCACAACTCCCTTTGTAAATGGTAATGCTAAATGGTTAATGTCTTGCCCAAGGACACATCAGACATGTTGCTGCAGCAGCTTGGGATCGAACCCCCCGACCTTCCGGTTGCAAGATGATCGACTCTACCAATTGAGCCACAGCCTACGGCGGGTAGTTTGGTCGGATTTATGGGCCACAAAATGGGTCAGAAAGTGCAATGAACCGAGACTTTGAACTGGTTCTGAACATTGCTAAAGGTTATTCTAAATTTATTTGGAGAGGAAAATGAAGGCGAACTCTGATCTGAAATGAAGATCTCTGCCTTTACTGTCATTTGGGAACATGGGTGAGTCTGTGATTCATTTATTATCTATCTTTACTTAAAGAGAAACTACATGTTCTCACCTCAAACCTGAATTTACTTTTTGTTTTTATACCTTAAATATTTTCTTTCTATCCTTTATTGTTGTTGCACCATGGCAGTGCTCAGAACAAAGATCCCATGGGTGCATCTGTTTCTGCTTTTTGAAGCACTTTAATTTTTGTCATTTTCAGCGCACTTCTGATGCATTTGTTTTGCACTTTGCCACACATTTTTCCTAGTGTTTATAGTTTTGGCTTTTGCAGGTTGGTTGCCCTTGCTGGCCACCGTAGTTATGCTACCAGTTATTGCATTTGCCAGCTACTTAAACGCACAGTATGTAAAGTCCGCCACAAGGGGTGCTCTCAATCAAAACAATAACAAAAGATGATGTGGAGGCTCGCTGCTACTCTCTCCGGTCCCCGGGTGAAAATGGATTCCGTGTTGACCGCAGTGAAGACGACCAGGTGAAACCGACCTGAGGAAGTGAATATGTTCACAGACGAGCTAAAGTTTCCAAGTTTAATTTTCATGAAGTTTTTATCTCAGCAGCACAAACAGCAACAGTTCGGCAACTTTGAGTAGCAGCTCACGCTATGACTTAACATCTGGCGTGCCCGACAAGGCACGTCCCATTACAACTATAAAATTACGGATTTCTCCGGCTTTGATAACTGTTAATGTTAATACTCAACAAAAAAATATATATAACAGGTTTAGTAAATTTTTAATTAATTCAGATATTTGAATGTAAACATTGTCATAAGATTTTATATGTATACCTTTAAAGGCTTTATATGTGATTTTTTGATCCAGCAGATGTCGCCCTTGAGCACCAGCATGAAACCAAAACAACTCACGCTGCATTGTTGTGTTAGCATGTTAATGCTAGCGATCTTTATTATGCTCGTATCTACACACTGCATGTAAATTTACCTGAAATGAGCCTGATCTAGAAACACAGTTAATCAGTGAGTACAGTATGTTATTCTTCTTTTCTCTAGTCCCTCAATGAAACAACTTTTATACGTGAGGGGAGGAGTCAGCCGGCCGTCCTGGCGATGTAAACAAACTGAAGATAGGACTCTAAAAACTCTGAAATCATCACAGACAGTGGGACTCGGG